AGCTCCACCACTTAAATAGCCTTTAATGCCAAATGCCGTCTACCCTGAATAATGTCTTTGATGAGAACTCACAATATAATTAATGAATGTAGAGAGCTAGTTGACTGGAAGTTAGATCTAAGTGCGTAGATTTTCGCATGACGGATTAACGGACTAGTTTCGCTTGTATTTTAGTGAGAATTTTCTAGACTAGATCCAAATAGATGTTTCACGGTAAGTTATGGTTTAGAAGGACAGTCACTAAGATATTGTTTAGTTCCTGCGATTTTTTTAATTCTTTCCTGACTTAGGTTTGTTTGAGGACAAACAAAAATGTAAGTCTGTGGGAGTTGATAACACCGTATTTTGACCACTTTTATGGATCATAATTGTATCTTATGCAGGTGTTTCAACTCTGTTTTCAATGGTTTTTAAAGCTTTTTCAATTTTTTAGAGTTTCAAAAGACTTTTCAGGAAACTTGGGCAAAAGATATGAAATTTGTAACAAATGAGCAATTTCGGATAAATGCAAACCGTCAGACGTATGGCAAGCGATGAAGACCTTCTCACCGTCCGATCACCCCCAAAATTTGAGACAACATAGAGGATCCAACCAGCTTTCTAATGCAATTGGTTTGGAGACAATCCAACGGTTAGATCTGCAGATACTCCCGATGCAAGAATGACAGAAAATGCAGTTCCGAAAGAGAGCATGAGCCAAGACCGCGGCCAACACCTATTTTCCCGCGGGTAGAAGCACCGCGACCGCGGCAAGAGAACTTTCACTTTCCAGACAACTTAATTAAAGCCCAGATCAATTCCTTTCGTTATTTTTGAAGCCCTAAGTGTCCAAGACCACTCCAGAAGCTATAAATACTCTCTTTAGGTCATTCTAAAGAGAGGAGACCAATAGAGATCGATAGAAACACATCCTTAGAGAGAGAGAGAGAGATGTCGTGTGGAACTCTAGAGGCCGCTGCCCCCGTCTCAGAAGAAGGAGCCGCCGCTGGAGGAAGCCATCGCGCCTCCATCTGCTTCTCCGTTCTTCGTTTTTCTTCCCTATCTTCTTTAATTTCCTGCAACTTTCAATACTCTATGATGCTTTGTTACAATATGTTTGAGTAGTTACCCAGTTGGGTTTAAAGGGATTTTTCAAAGGGAATTTTGTGTGTCTTTGCTTATGAATCGATAGATTTAGGATTTATAATCTTCTAGATGTTCTTCGTTTGCCTTTGATTTTACTGCGTGATTCTTTGCTGGCCACTTAGAAGCCGATCTGATATGATATGTTTTGAAAGCTTTCATTGATTGTCTGAACTAGGGTGAAACGAGCAATGATTTTATAGGAGTGGAAACCTACCTGTATTTGAGTTGTGAATGTTGATGAGTCTTGTTCTGCTATTGCATCTTCTCCCTTCCAGGATCATAGTGGAAACCTACTGATCAAGATTGCGAGAGATAGTTGTTTAGTGCTGCGAAAGTAGGCTATTCATACTTCCGTGCCTCGAGTTCTAGAACATACGTAGTTGATTACCTTTATCACTTGCTAAAAATCGACATAGCTTAGTCCATGAATCCCTGCGATACCCTTGAGCCCCAACATTTGTTTTCATCGTTTACAACCTTTGCTTCTTATTCCATTTTTCCTGATTTCAATTCGCCTTTGATTTATTCGCTTATTACTTGCTTTCATTTGCTTTCGTTTTTAATTGCTTTTACTTGTTTAGCTTTCTAGTTTAGACTTAGTGACAACCAAAACCCAAAACCAAAACCCAAATTGTTTAGTTCTAATCTGATTTAAGCATTATCGTGAATTCGTACTGAAACAACCAAGTCTCTGTGGATCGATACCCTAAGTACTACAGCGCACATCTGTGCACTTGCAGACATTTATGGGTTATAAATTTAAAATCTGAAGCTTAGTAAAACCGACCAACCCCGTTTACAATCGCATCAATTAACAAATGATTAAAGACTATCAAAGCAAGTAAGACAGATATTGATGATGAATATATGATGATAAAGACTATAGCTCTAAACATGATAGTTGGTTAGGGTGCATCAGGGTCTAACTAAGGAGCTAATGACAATGATGATGAATGATCCAATCAGCTTAGGATTCCAAACAAGTCTTAACCTTCTCAAGCATTAAAACACTAAACCAAACATTGCTTATACATAATCATCATTAGAGACACAATGAAAGGAATGCATTAGAAATCAATCCTAATATGTCATATATTCTCTAAACAAACATTCTCATGTGGATCAAGCAATAGACTCTTGACTTAGCTGGTTCAGGCATTTCATTAAACACCTTGTGGGTGTAGAAATGAATAAAATCTGGGTTTAAGTGATTATCAGAAACCCAGTATTAAGATTAGCTAAGCAAGAAGAAGATACAGAAATCTAGCCTAAGGAATCTTAATCAAACCCCTAAGCACCCTAACCTACATATCTAGAACCCTAATGAGGTGACTACTCACTAATCATATTTAACTCTCTATTTCTGTTGCAAAAAGAGAAGTTAAACATGATTAGTTGATGAAGAAATGTAGAAGATGTAATGATAGTGATGGATTAATGTTAAAATTCTTTAAAACTCTCTTGGATTAAGATCAAAGGGAGATATCTCTCTCAAAGGATTCTTAGCACAAAAGAGGTAAAAAAAGTCTAAAGGATCAAGGATCATTCTGGTGGAAAAACCCCAAAACATATTTATACTAAGTCTCATGGTCCAGGGTCAACCCGGGACAAACCAGGTGTTGACCCGGAAAGAAAATACCAAAACCGTCTGGCAACTTGGCACCAGGTACCATTTGGCCGGCGTTATGGCCGGTGCAGAACATGTGTCTGAAGGTGCAGCTGACTCCGTGATGTGTTTGGCTGAGGTTCTGTCTGGAGTGAAGGAGCATGCAAAAACAGTGGAGAATGCACCGGGCATCATTTTGCCGGTGTTGAGTCTGGGGTGAAGAATGACGGATCTGACTCCGGGGTACACATCCTCATGAAGCTTCCTGGAGTGGAGAAGGGTCTTGAACCGCTGGAGATTGCACCGGGATGCCTTTGGCTGATTTTCATCCTAGTGCGAAAAACGTTGAGGTTTGCACGGGGCTTCACATAAAGATAAACCTACTCGGAGTGGATCTGAAATGGAATGATTTAAGATTTGGCTTACTCCAACCACTAATACCTTGGTATACTCCTAAGTGTTATGTCTGAACAAAGAAATCTCCAGAAAGTTGCATACTCCAGCCATCATTCTCCCGGTGCTCATCTCATTGTATTGGACCAGTCTTCACTCTGAGCTGCATAATTTTCCAGCTCCAAGAGAAAGGTGACTCAATCAGCTCCATCTTTGGTGAAGAGTCTATCTGCATTCGGTAACTCTACAAATTTGGTGAAGACACCGGAGGTTGAATCGAAGTGTAAAGCCTTTGTCTCAGGCAATCTGTCAAACGTCTCACCAGGTGGAGATACTTGTTTGAGCACATACACCAATATAAGGGCTTTCTCATCCGGTCTAAGCTCCATCAGGTTCCCAAATGCCTCCAAATTACCTAAGAAATACTCCAAATATGCAAGACTCTTTGGGACCTAAAGCATTTCCTAAAAAAACTAAAACAAAGATAAAACTCAAAGAAAAATACCTATATGTATGCATGAGAGTCAATACTTGGACTAAAAATGCATGCTAAACATGTAAAAATATGAATATATCAGCTACCAACATACACCCCCGCTCTAGCTTGAGATTCATCATCCTCATAAGCATCTGTACCACAAAAGGTTATTTGAGGAGGTTTGATGGGGTAGAAAAAGCTTATCATTTACATTCTTGAGCATCACTCTCATGTGTGAAAGTCTACTCTTGCACCAGCAGTGTTAGGAAATGGTGTTCCAAGTATGAGAGGAAGCTTGTTGGACTGTTCCATCTACACTACCATGAAGTTTGTTGGTACAAGGCATTATCCAATCTTTAGAGTGTAATTCTCAAGAACTCCAAGTGGTTCCTTTGAAGATGCAACTCCAAATATGATATCTAAACTCTTCACCATCGCACAAGAGATCACATTCACACTAGCTCTAGAATCAAAAAGAGCATCATCAATCTCCAATTATCAAAGAATTCAAGATATGGAGAATCTACCTGGGTTCCCAAGCGTGGGAATAGACTTAGGCTCAACCCTTGCTGTGCTTGGTAAACCATAGATCACCACCAACTCTTCTTCTTTCTCTTTTTTTCTCAAGAACAGCCTTGATGAACCTTAGATGCCCAGGGATTTGGAACAAGTTCTTCACATGAGAACTTTAATGTTTATTATGAAATGGTCTTTTTAATAGCTCTGTTTATTTTGAACATTTTTTTTGCACTATGATCAGCTGATATAACTTGATCTTGCAAGTATATTGATTTAACAGTATAAAAAATCAAAGTTATGCAAATGTTAATTAATAAAATCCAATTATGATTTGAATATTATGTTTTAAACTTAAACAAATTTTGAAGATCATCAGTCTGTGCTGGGTGCGGACAAACCACTTAGTGGCCTATCAAACACAGCGATATTAGTTGAGATATAGCCGAAATGGAAACGAAAGTACAAAACGACAAATAATTAACCATAGTTGAGATATGGTCTATCAACCTTATAGAATAATATCATCGGCTATGTGTTTTGTTTTCGAAGTCCGGCGATGGGTTTAATTCCAAATTTCGAAGAGCCCATCTCTATCTGTAAACGGTTTGATAATTTGGTATTTATAATTGATGCATTTTTTAAAAAAAAAAATTTGAACCATTTGAACCAATTTTTAATAATTTTTTATAACTTAAATTAAACCAACATAACCATTTTTAAGGAGAAGCAAAAGATAATTAGAATCTTATAATTAAACGAGAAAGGTTAGAGCTAAAATTTTAATTTGATTGTACTATATATTGATGATGAATGAATCAGACGTTAAAAAAATTAAAAATGAACTTTACTTGGACGCTGAAATTAATATTCTTCGCCGTTATTGTTCTTTAAGCTAAAGCATATTCCCAAAACAACAGAGATAGAAAAACAAAAAGCTTAACGCTTTCCCTATGTTCGTCGTCTTTTCTGATTCGGGTTTCCCTCAATTTCACTCTTACGTCGCGTGCAATCTTTTAAACGTGAATTTAATTTGGCGTTTGGTGTTTATATGATAATGATGTTAATCGCGTCTTATATTTCTCTAATTTCGAATTATTAACGATCACGAAATTTGGCTTATTTTGCTTCATTACGGGTGACCATTAAATTAGGGATTTTTCGTGATTCTTTTGTTAATTCGGCTTTTGAATATATCTTTGCATTGGCGTAACTTTGATTCTTGAGGGTTTATCATCGATTGTTTGGATCTTTCGTGATTATGTTTTTTTTTTTTTTCAGAAAAATTGATTATGGTTATAATTTTGTTTTTCTTTGATTTTTCTTGCAGAACCTTTGGAACAATTATCTCTGGTTTCTTCAAAGCTATGGATTCTAATGGTGGAAACGTATTGCCAACGAGGAGTTTTTTAGCAAATGGGTTGTTTTCCCAATTACATATACCCGGACGCTTCGCCTTCGAAGCATTTAGTTGCATCTCCAAGTTTACAGGAGCTTTGCTTTGTTGGTTTTCAAATGGGAACAATTTGCAAAAAAGGGAGATAACTAACTATCAATGCAGCTTAAGCTGTGATGATTCTTCGAAGCGTATCAACAGTTATCCAACCTTCTCTGTTTTCCGTTTCCACTATGGATCAAAAGAAATAACCCCTGGCTTCTTTGGAAACATTTCTAAATCCACTATTTTGCATTTCGTTAATGAAGCTGAGAGGCTACATTCGTATTCTGTACTCTCTTTGGCTGTTTCGTTGATACCATTTTTACATAATATGTAAGTTTTATCAGAGTTGTTTACTTGATAACTCTCTTTTGGGGGCACTTTCTGATTGTGACTTTTATTAGGACGATGAATGGACTTGCTCTGCCACTAGGAAGTAATGATGTTAAACTACCGGAGAACATTGAACATAGGACTTATCAGGTTGGTCGTGAGGAATATAGTGCTTTGACTTTTCAAAAATTGGACTGGAAAAGACAAACAGTTGAGCCTCGAACCGGGATTGAATTCCCAATGTTGTTGAAGAAAAATGCTTCTGGACTTACTTCTGAGGTTACTAGAGCTTTTCCTTCTCCAATTTTCTTTCCTTTGTCATCACATCTTATGTTAGAGTCAACAAAGAAGAGATTTCACGATCTACAAATGGATTTATCTCAATTTAAGGTGCTTGTTGCAACTGGATCTCGGACAATGCAAATTATCAGAATCAAATCTCTAAAAGTATATGCATTTGGTTTTTGTAAGTGCATTCGTGCTTTGTATCCTGTCTTTATAGAATCCTCTGTCATCTTTTGCTTCTAACTGGAAATTTTGTGCATTAGATGTTCATCCTTCCTCGGTCTGCCAGAAGCTTGGCCCAAAGTATGCCTCTATTCCAGCGAGCAAACTCGACAAATGCGATGACTTATACAAAGACCTTCTTAGGTATTTTTGAATTTGCTCATTGTAGTACGTCTTTGACAGATGTGTACACTTCTATTGGTTTGAATCCCGATCTGGCCTAGTTGGTGTACCTTTGAGTGTCTAATTAGACATTTCTTCTGAAACCCTTTTATCTGAGTTTTTCAGGGAGGATATCGTCATGAGTGTGAGGCTTGTGGTTAACTACAGTGGCTTGAAGATTAATACTGTGAGAGAGTAAGTGTGATGAGATTTTCAAGGAGGATATTGTTTTGTTGTAAAGTATGTTTACTTGCCATTTGATGATCTGTTGCAGCCTCATTCATGTGCTTTATACTGATAGATGGGAAAAAATAATCTACTGCCTTGTTTGTCTATTTTGCCTTGTTTGTCTATTTTCAGTGCTTTTGAGAAATCTCTCCGTGCTCGTTTGGTTAAGGTAAATGATACATCGAAACACTGAAAAAATCACACTTTGCCATATTATAAGCTTCTGCATTTTCTTATTTCAGGCAAATCCAAAAACTAATTTCCATTGCTTGAATGATTTTGGTTCATTCTTCACACAAGACATTCCAATACCCGCGGTACTCATTGGCAAAGGCAGAAACTCAATATTTACATATAAACACACATAGAGGCGTACGACCTCATTTTATTGTCTCATTGCAGGGAACAGTAATAGACTTTCGACGAACAGCTGATGGACAACTAATCACAGAGAGTGAGTAATTACTACATTAGGGGAAAATCTGATTTGCTACATTATTTTGAATTTTGTATACAAATGAAGCTTCCTTCTCTTCTCACCTGAATATGTAAAAACATTTGCAGTTGGCGGTAATCTGATTGGAGCTGTCCGTAGCAAGGATCTTTGCCGTTAGTTCTTCTTTCTTATCGTTTTTTTTTTCATGTTTTTGTTTTTGCACCTACAGTGCCTACAAAAGCCCAAGGGCTGAGATATGCGAACGTTGCAGGGGCGTTTTTTGATATGTACATTGGAGATGTTCCGGTTTCTGAACAGACCAAGAAAGAGATTGGTAGGAACGTGGTGGGAATGATAAAGAGGTGCTGACAATCAATTTAGACGTCCAATGGCTTCTGAGTTTTAGAAGAAGGCAATCGGGTATGATAAAGAGGTGCTGAATCTTAATGTCTAGCTCGTGGATGAACACGGAATACTAAATTCTTAGTAAGCAGCTTGGCACAAGTTATATTAGATTGTCTTGATTTGTTGTATGAAAGTATGTTCCTTATTGTATCCTTGGTGAAGGAAAAGAAAATGATCATCTTTTAATACCTGGAGCTGTGGAGTAAATAAGGATCCGTTTTAAGTGTTTTAGGTTCAGCTGCCTCGTAATCATTGGAGTCAAAACTAAATGACGATCCATAACATGCGCCGACATATGTCGGTCGATGTTGCCCTTGGTTGTGCTGCGGGAAAATGGGAGAGGGATGTGAGAAACCCTAATCTCGCAAATATAACATCACAAAATAACAAATTTATTAAATATTTATTAATAGCAAAATCTTTTTATTAAAAATAAATAAATCGAGAATTTGAAAAATCTTAAATATTTGAGAAAAACTAAAGAAATATAATTAAAATTCTTATTAAAAATAATCACAGAAATATGAATATGACTCTTAGACATAACACCACAATGACCGCCACAAATACTACTCTTTAGTCTCACCTGAAAAAAAAAGAGAGAGGTGAATATTCGAAGAAAAATACTCAGTGAGGATGTGCTCTTGGAACACACAAGATTTTTTGACATATTATTTGAAATAGCAATAAAGTGTATACATAATATAGGCATCAAACTCAATCAATAATCAACATAGAATAACTAATATAATCATGTATTATATATGATCCTAATATTTCTAAATAAATACAATCATGCAATCATTCAATACAATCAACCTAAATAATCTACTTTACATTCCCAAAAGTCGCAACCGCTTGGTATTCACTTTATGCCACAACTCATAAATGAGTTTAACGATTAATGCCTCCGCCCAATCACAGGACTCGACATTTAATCTCTGTCCACAGCCCTCAACAGGGTTTGACAATGGCTTGTTAGTCATTTCTCGATCACTACATCTTCACAATATTCAGTCTCTCACTGTAGGCCGTCAAATAATTTATCGATCACTACAACTTCACATCTCATTTTTTCATTGTAAGCCGTCAAACATTATTGTAACCAAATAAATACTATTTCAATTAACGACTAACTAACTTACAATCCTATTATCATATTCCAATACTTTTTATTATGAACTAGGGTTGGCCCCGGGCTATGCCCGGTTTTTTTCATTGATTTGTTTTTAAACTTGTTATGTTACAATTTGTATTTTGACTATATACAGCACATACACAATGTGTTCATACTTCATATTTTAGAAATGTATATCATTAGTAAAATCATTTCTGTTTTTTTTTAAGTTTTAAAATATTAATGTACTTTATAGATATCTATTATATTAAAACAGAAGCACTTTTACTACTTGCTTCCAAACACTCTTAAAATTTTTTTATGATATTTTATTTTATATTCATATTTAATTTCCGAAAATTAGTTATTAATTTAGATATTTTTAAGTTTCAAAAAATCTAGATCATTTTTAATTTAAATTTCAAATTATTGGAAATTTATGATAATTAAATTTAATTACAAAAATCTGTATTTAAATTAATTTAAATTCAAAAAAATTAACAAAAAATATAATTAAATTTTATTACGAAAATTTAGATAATAATTTTAATACTTTAGAATTCATTGAATACATGTTAGATTTAATTTAAAATTTAAAATTTAAATAATATTTTTATAAAAATGCATAGTAAATAAATATTTTATCGTATTTTATCATAATCAATCAGTCTAAAATATCAAATATTTTAGATTAATAAATATTTATATTATACAATAATATGATCGAGCTGATTAGAGTTATATATATATACTTAAGGTCTACGAGTTAATTTATAAAAACATGTAAGATATTAAAATGATTTGAGACAATTAAACTAACAGGTTAGCCAGTTTACACTACAAGAATGAGGGGCTTTTCCGTCGAATTATTTACGACGATTTTTAGTCGTCGTAAATTTACGACAACATTACGTCGTATTTACGACGATCAAAAATTTCGTCGTAAATTCGACGTAAAAAATGACCCTCGTAAAATCGTCGTAACGTTACGACGATATTACGATGAATGAAGAACGAATTTTATTTCGTCGTAATGTAGTCGTAATATTTACGTCGATAATACGACTATTTGTCCTCTATCTCGTAATTGATGTAAAATCAATGTAAATGTGATGTAAGTTTTATTTCGACGTAAATTTGATGTAAATATGCAATGGTAGTATGTTGGTAACAAAACAAAAAATTCTATATATACCCTTTCTTCTCTCATTATTCCATCAACCCAAAAAAACTTATAAAGACACAAATTTTTTGAGTCTTTGAATGTTTAAGTAAAATTTTTAGTAGTTGAAATTTATATCAAATTTCAGAAACAAAAAGTCAAATATTTGTTTTTGAAATGTCTATATACGATCTACGAAAGTGGATGTAGACGCCCAAAAATGGTGATGGGTCGTTGACTGAAGACTTCAAAAATGGATTGGAAATATTCATGTACCAAGCCGGCCTAATGCAAACTGTAATTGAAAGCGGCAAAATGTATTGTCCTTGTGTGAAATGCAAAAATAGGAAACATATTCCTATTGACACTGTCTGGCAGCATTTATTGAATAGAGGGTTCATGCCCTAATATTTTATTTGGTATCAGCATGGAGAGGGATATGGTCAAAGTAGTGGTCAGATGGCTGCACGGAGTAGTAGTAATCATCAAGAACATGTGGATTTTGAAGCGTCCAATGATTATCAAAGTAGTCAAGTTCAGGGTGAAGATCATGATAGGATGCATGAAATGGTTACTGATGATGAGGACACCGAGGAAAATGTTGATGAAGACTAATTAAATATGTTGACATTTAATTGCATGCTTTGAACGTTTCAATGTAACATTTGTCAAATTTAAATTTTTGAAAAATTAAAGCCAATTAATGAAAACTAATTAAATGTTGATGAAAATTTGTTAAAGTGTTGACCTGGACATATGTTGACTTTTACGACGAATTTACGACGATTTTTTGGAATTCGTCGTAAATTCGTCGTAAAATGCAAACCCTAAACCCTATAGGGTTTAGCTTTCCCAACTTACAGAATGGTTTTTGGGTTTATTTTCCTAAGTAAACTGATGTATTATATAAGGGTCTGTAGTATAAGGTTCAGGAACTTGTAGAAATGTGGTTTTTATTATGACGACTTTACGACGAATGGGAGTGATCGTCGTAAATTCGTCGTAATATACTATCGAGATTACGACGAAATGTAACCCCTAAATCTTATAATCAATCTTTTATGGGGTTCAGGGGGAATTTTGATGAAGAGAATGAAATGGCTTACCATCTCATTAGGTAAAACAACTTTCTAAACAAAAAAAAAAATTTCAAAATTTGACATATATGTGTTTATCAAGTAATCTTAAGGTGTTATATACATTTACACAAGATGTATGGATTTATCTTACATCTTACTAAATTTTTCATTAAGTTATGTAAACATGCTAGAAAGTTATACAGACCACATTTATCATGAATAGACATACTTGTATGTGCGTATGGATGTTTCAATTTTTGAATTTCATCAGTTTTGGTATAATTCGTCGTAAATTCGTCGTAATATTACGACGAATTTACGAAGATTTGTGGATACACAGCCGTCTTAATTTTTATGATTTATACGATTCGTCGTAAAATCGTCGTAACATTACGACGATTTTACGACGAATAACACGGATCATCGTAAAATCGTCGCAAAGCCCAGATACAGCCACGTGTGTTTGCCTTATTCGCTTTGTTATACGGTGGGACCTTTACGACGAATTTACGACGAATCCGTCGTAAATTCGTCGTAATCGTTACGTCGAATTTACGACGAATATAAATTCTATATATAGGACCTCACCCCTTCCTCATTTCGTCGCTTATCTCTCCTTCCTCTCTCTCTGCTTCCTCCTCTCTTGCATTCCTCCTCTTTTTGACGCAAAAAAAGGTAATTATTTTTTTTTAATTACTTTAAATTATTTTATTATTAAATAGTTTAGAAATTCAAACGGTTTAGGTCGGGAATTAGTTTAGGCTCGGAATTTGTTAGATTTAGGATCGGAATTTCTTAGATTTAGGATCGTAATTAAAAATTAATTGTAATTAACTTGAAAAATAAAATTTTATCGGTTTTGCAGACGATGACTCGACGGAGGACGCATTACATCAATTTCATGGCGGACGGACACTCTTCCTGGGCGTCTACCTCGGGAAACACCGGGACCGATGTCCCTTCATCTTCTGGAGCCTCCCAGGTTCCGAATACCGCGGAGCCGTCTCCACCACCGCCTCCACCATCGCCTCCACCACCACCTCCACCGCCGGCTGCCGAACCGGTACCCGCCCCTCCTCATCCGTATGCCCAGTTTACGGTTGAGGATTTACTAGCCCTACCGGAACGGGGGGCTTTACGACGTCTGGTTCCCGGAAAAGCGGAACCAGGCTCTTATTGGTAAGTAAACTTTTTAGTTTTTTATATTTTTTTAAATTAATACTCTAATTTACTTAAATATTAATGTAATAATTTTTTTTTGTTTCATAGGTTTAGTTTGGATAATTGTGTTGGTCGGAGCGTTTCCGACACAATTAAGAGTCATTTCGTGGAGTCGCACTACAATTGGAGCAAGGTGTCGCAAGAGACGTTCGACACCTGGTACAAGTGCTTTGCGGTAATATTTTTTAAATATTATTTATATCATTTTAAATTGTAGTAAAATTCAATTAATCTTACTTTTATATTATTTATCTAATTTTTTGTTTTCTTTTGCAGCAACGGTGGAACTGGGACATCGGGATCAACGAGACGGTCCGCGAAGCTTTCCGGCTGAAGGCGTAGAAACGCCTAGTCAACACCGTTTCCGATTGGAAGCGGAAATGGGAGACCGACGGCGACGACGCAAAGCCGAGCTCCATGTCCACTACCTGTTGGAACGGGTTGAAGGTGTACTGGCTGGACCCGCATGCCCAAACCACCGCTGCTAAGTGTTCGGCCGTCCGAAACCGGGTCGATCCGGTGACTGGTGAGAAGTTAGTGACCCCGCACACTTCTGGCCAAATATCTTTTGCGGGAAGACGTCTCATGATGGTAAGTAATTATTATTTTATTTTAATTTTATTTATTG